GCGGGTCGCCTTGGGGGCTTCGCCGCCGGGAGGCGGCCTGGGCGTGGTAGCGTAGCCTTAGGGAGAGCAGCGGTCCCGTGCTGCTGGTGCCGGAGGGCAGCCCCGGGCACGCCCGGCTTCCCGGTAAGCTGGGGGACTCGGTGTGGATACAGCTCCACAGGGTCGGGGGAGTTTTTCAGGGCTGTCAAACCGTGCGATTGCATAGACTCTGTCTGGGGCTCTGAGGCCTTATGGAGTGGCTCCTATTAGACTTTACTTGAGATGATGAGCAGGTTATGTTAATGTAATTCAAGACAAACTCCCTTAAAGAAAGCTTTGCTTTTAAGGTAAATGCATGCATGATGACCTAGGAATTCTTCAGAGAGAGATTAGATTTATTGCTATAACCCTTTAAGGATTTGCTTCTGTTCACTACTGCTTGTGTTTTTCAGATGTTGGTGGTGCAGCAGATAAGATTAATTTAATACCTCAAGACTTTTTTGCAGAACTGGTAAGCAGGGCGATAAATGCGATGTGGAAGGGCTTCTGGCACGCTTTGATTCTAGGAAACCTTTTTGTTTAAGCTTTTCTTGTTTTTGTCTCTTGCAAAGGGAACCTTATGTATGTGGTAGCTTGGATATACGTGACTCATAAAGTGGACCCGTCCTGCTAAGAGCAATAGGATTGCTTTAAATTTATGTTTTTATCACAAAAGATTTTAAAAAATGTATTTTTGCCTTTCATCTAAATGAAGTATCAAGCTAGCTTGTTTAGAAAATATTCAGCTTGTTTAGTGTGCACTTGAACAGGATGACTGTTCAATTAGTATGAAAATGGTGTGTTAAGTAGGAATAGCTAGTGAGGTAATAACTAAAAGTCTTGACTGAGTTTATTTGCTTTTTTTGGATCTGATATAATTTTAAAATCAGTCAGTTCAATGACTTTATTCTCTACCCTGCATTTAAAGCATCCTCCTGTTGTCCATTTTTGCATTAACCAGTTTTCTTTTTTGTTTTGTAATCTCCAAGTGTTCAAACTAGCTTTGTCTTTTATATTAAAATATGTATTAAGAATGTTTTCAAACTTACTTTCTTTACAGTGTGAACAAATAATTCAACATCTGAACCATAAGATCCCAGGTGTAAATACAGCTGAACTGTGTCAGGTAGGTTTGGATACTAGCACCTATGAGCAAGTATATTAGCTGTATATGCTGTAAAGGATAGATTCCCCAAGTCAATTTTTTTGTGTGTGTGTATACAAAGAGGGTTTTATTAATGCATAATTTATTATTATTTGTAATTGTTTGAACGTTCTGTTTCTAGAGAATTCAAACATCTGGGATTGAGATTAATGTTGGTGACCTGGCAAAAATAGCTAATATTGTTTCCTTTCTGTTTAGGTAAGCACAAAATAATTTACTTTGCCTCATGTCTTTTTTTTTTTCCCTCCACACCAACTTAATAGTGGTATTTAAAAGTGACATCAAATGTGGGTATAAAATGAACTGATTTGGGAAAAGGGCGAAAGTTTGTAGCTCTCAGTACACAAAAAAATAATTTCTGGGCTTAGTTTATGTTCTTAAAAAATTTGTAGTTACTTAACATATAGTTTCACTTTTTGTAATTAAAAAAACCCCCAAAAGTAAAGAGAGAAAATGGTTCTAAGATTCTGTCTGCAAGCTTTAGAACTACTGGCAAAATAAAAGAGGAAGTTAAGCTCAGGTCTAAAGCTAAGACAGCTAGGCCTTTGCCTGGAAGAAGCATGTTCTAAAAACTTCTTGTTTCTTAGAGATTAGAAACCAGCATTTGTGCCTGTTTGAAGGGCACGCAGTTTTATCATGTTGAACTCTGCTATGATAAAGGTTTTTAGGTAGTATTTTCAGCTGTTTTTTTTCTGTAAGTTTTTCTATTTGCAGAAAGATAAAATTTTCAAGATCTTGTTTGTTCTTTTAATATCTAGTATCTAAATATTTGTTGTAACATTAATATGACTGAAGAAAATATACTAGTAGAAATTCAACATGCTACTTTTTCCTCTATAAAATGTAAAGCCCTAAATTATATTAGACCATGCTACTTGGAGGACCAACTCTCTTTCTTTTTTGTTAATGTCTCTTTAAGAGGAGTGGATCTGCATGAACAAACCTAGGGTGGGAATTTTTTTTTTTACCTGTTTCTGTAGAGGAAATTGAGTGGCAATTTTCCTCTAGACTTGCTGCCTTTTCAGTTGAGGGTTTATTGCATCATTTGCCTCCTGTTAGTACTGATTATACCATTACCTAGAGGTCCTTGCTTGCCTTTTGGTGATACTTAAATTACCTCTCCTAAATGTTTAATTAAACTGCCTTGTTTCTAAAGTAATAATGTTTAACTGCTCTATGCACGCATCTTTCACTGAATTATGCCTTTTTTCAGTTGCAACAGCACTTGGAGGCTGTGATTATTTTTGTTTCAATGTTGTGTGTTGTGCAAGCCCAGCAAAGCTTGGTCTCTGCATATTAAGACACATTAAAAGTCAAGTCATGTTGTTTCTTGCATGTAGATACAAAAGATTAGTAAAATATTCTGGCGAGGAAAAAAAATCACGGGCTGCCTAATTATTGTAAAGTATATAGACATGTAAAGCAGAAATAAAAATTGCCTATTTGGGGTGAAGTGAGAAATTTTATTAAATTCATGGAAGATGAAATTGATGCGGTCTTCTTTGGATATACCTATAGCACAGCAGCCAGAAACAATCTCTCTACGGAAGAACTCGTCACCACCTTGGGCAATGCAGTCAGCGCGCTGCCAAAACATGCAGTTCAAGTTATTCGTCATGTATGGAATGAGCAGGGCAAATCTATTAGTATGTCAGAAGATGCAAGAAATATGGCCACAGTGGGGCAGGTAACTAAATGACAAAGTGCAGTTGAGCTAACTACTACGTTTTCAGAAATGTCAGTGCTTCATTGTGTACGTTGTATTGTCAAGCACATGGTGGTATCTTGACTGCCGAAAGCTTTCCTATATATATATATATATGTATGTATGTTTCCAAATGTCTACCCAGATAAAGAAGCATATACAATGAAGGTTGTCTAAATGCTGAACAGTTTTCTAATATTACTGTTTGGATGATAAAGTCACATTTCATACCTTCTTAAAAATCAGTGCTTCGTAGTACTATTAGGGAAGGTGAGTGGCAGTCAGTGTGGCAGACAAGTGTATTAGCTGTTTATGTAAATCTGTTTGAAATGTAATTTGAATTGTTGTTTGGAGTTGATAACACCAGCACTTGATTGTTTTAGGCTTTGTCTCCCTTAAGTTTAAACTCTTTTTAAAGATACTTTCTGTCAATTACCAGCATTCCTTTTTTTTCCTTTTTGAAAAAATAACACAGAGTGTATTTGCATGTTAAGATCTTTTTTCCTAACAATAGTTTAAAAGAGTACAGAATTGGGGGGGAGGGGGGAATCTTTGAGGCTTGATAGTAAGCTTTTGAAGGCTCACTTCACTTCTTTATTCAACAGTTCTGCCTATCATAAAAGGCTAAAAATGATAACTTACCTCTCTGAAATGTTTTTATGATGTACTTTGATTTATCTAAAATACAATTATGAAATGCCTTAATTTTTTTCCATTATTGCTATTATAAAATCTTTGTGCACTGTCTTGAGGTTTTTCTCATGTTTCCACTTGATTTAGAAACTTTAAAAAAAACCAACAAAACAAAACATGACAAAAGCACGAGTGATATACAAGCCAGGTCAACTCTGTGACTCAGGCTCCTCTTACTAGAACTTTAAATAGACTGTACTTGACTATTGACAGTGCTTGAATAAGGAAAACAGATTAAGTGAAGTAACTTACTAAATTGCTTATTTTTTCACTATTAAAAGGAAGGGCAGATGATTTTGTTTCACAATAGCATCTGAATGTGTATGTTTTGTTTCCCATTTGGATATGAGCCCTAGATGTCCTATATTGTCTGTAAAACATCCATCCAGCAGAATAGCAATGGTAGGCTAGATCTCTTCCTTTAACACTGCTTCCAATGATTTTCTTCTTTGTAGTTTGTAGATATTAAGTGGAAACTGGGAGTTGCGATGAGCTCTGACACCTGCAGGTCTCTGAAGTATCCTTACGTTACAGTGACGCTAAAAGTGGCAGACCCTTCGGGACAAATAACAGACAAATCTTTTGAAATGACGATCCCACAGTTCAAGGTCTGTAATCAGTGTTACTTGATTCAGTCTCTTAAAACAACAGTGACATTGTTGTGAAGGAGCAACTGTATACCTTGATGCATATGTTTGTGTTGCTTATTTACCAATACAGTCATTCAAAGATGAACCATTAAATAATTATTTAATAACACTGAAGCGAAATACTTATTTCATAGCATTTAGTTCTACATCACTTATCCAAAAATGTTAATTTAGAAGTAATTAATCTGTTCTCTTACAAATAAGCTAACAACTGAAGACATAAAGACTTTTGGACCTTTCTTGTCAGCTGTCACTCTGCCTTATTCAAAATGGATGGAATATTCTAAATCTATGGAACTGTTTCCCAGCCTCAAAATCTAGAACTTGGGTTAAGCCTAACATTTACTAATGATAGGAATGGAGGTCAGTCTGCTTTGTCACCACTGGCTCTTAATTGCTATGCCTTCATCTATGAACTTATGTAACTTTGTTTAATTTTGCATAAATGTGGCACTTCTGTTGTCATTCCTGTTTAAAGGGCAAATACATCACATAGAATATGATACAAGCTTACAAATAAATAAATCCTTGGAGTTGAACTGGCAGGAATTTGAGAAGGATACTGTGAATCCTTAGGTGTTGTGAAATGTATTCATTCTGGTTGAAACCTATTTAGTAATTTGCTGTTCAACTACTATCAGAAATGGATGCTATACTTGAGAAGCCTGGATTATTTCAGCTGGGGATAGACACACTTGCATAAGAAGGTTTTTTGGTGGTGGGTTTTTTTTGTTGTGGTGTGAGAGCTATTTTGTATTCTTCTTTCATAGCATCTTCTCCTATTAATAGGCTAACCCATGCAAATAAGGCATCACAGATTTAATAGTGAATGTGCCCAGATGCCAACCAGCCCACAAAAAGAAAAGCAGAAACTTTCAGTTCAAGCTGCAAATTGTAACTGAAGAGGGAATGTGAGAAACATGGATTGTGATTTTTGTCCAACATGCTAGTTTGAACTACAGTTCAAGCTTTTCTTCAAGCAACTGAAATTTACCTTAACTCTTGCTTTTTAGAACTTCTTCAGACAGTTCAAGGAAATGGCGGCTGTTCTGGAAACAGTTTGAAGAGAACTCTTTTATTTACACTGAAATGTCGGACAGACTTAGATCAAGTAAACTTTCCGTCCTGCACAGGGAATAAAGTGCCATTGTTCAGCAAGGTATGTATCCTTGTCGTCTTGACAGGTATTTGTCAGCGTCATCCTTGCATTGCTGTGAAGATTTCTTCGCTTTTGAATACTTGAAGCCAACTCTGCAGTGTTTGTGAAAATGCATTCAGCTTTGTTCATCCTGGTAGACAAAAGATCAGGATGTGTACAGAGAAGCATCACTGTAGACTTTCTAATATCCAAGAGTAAGAAACTACACATTTAACTCTGGAGTGTGGAAAGACACCTGAAAATGTTGACTGGGAAGATACTGAGAGAAGTGTAAATCCTATGTTAACACTTTTGTCTGTACAATTGAGATGCCCTTGGACTCAACAATAACATTAAGTATAAGGAGTATATGAAGTTACACATAACAAGCATACAGTTATTCTTGAAGAATAGCAATGTCAGGTAGTTAGTTGCGGGTATTTGCAGACCTGGCTTCCAGTCGTCTTTTAATAACTGGAGAATGTACTTGTCCTAACAGCTTGTTTATTTCAAATACCTATTTCCCGCCACCTAGGCTTATAAAAACTGAGTTAATGCATTAAGCTTTTCTGGAGACCCAAAATTTATTCTTGGAAATGAAGCCCAGAGGCTAACTTTAAATAAAGGTAGAAACGTGAATTTAATTCAAAAGCATTTTAATATATTTTGCCTTTGCATTTAATCCCACTCTAATCTGTGGCGCTCTGCTTGATGTAGCTGCCTCACTCCAAGCTCTGAACTAGAAAAGTCAAGAGGAAACATGAAAATTCAGGCTGGAGTGTTAGCCAAGCACATCAGAGAAAGGACCACACTAAAAGTCAGCAAGATTTCTTTGCTTGTTGTATTGTGTGGCAGGAGTCCACTGGACTGTGTTGCGAGCGCTTGCTCTCAGAGAATGTCCTGACCAGCAAAATTTTGACTTTGATTCCGAAGAATGGGGATATTTCCAAAGGGGGAGTGATAAATCCAGTGTGCTTGCATGCCGTCTTTCCCCACCCCACCCCCCTTAAGTTTTCCATAAACAAAACGCAAACTGCAAATATAGTGGGATGTAATAAAAACAGTACTGTTGCATTTCAAGATGTGCCGGTGGTGTAGTAGAGCAAGTAAATCTGAAGAGAGACAATTCATACTGATAAGCAGACTGAAGTTTATGCTGCAACTTCAGAATGGTAGAGACTGAGAACCAGTTTTGCTGGGACAGTTCCTCACTGATTTCAGGCCCCCTTAAGTGAGAACATCTACCTTTCTAACCCACTTGCATTTTTTATTAACTTTTTTAGAAGCTGGCTGAAAGTCATTGATACAGGTGATGCCTGCCTTTTTGTGTCATGAAAATAAACTGCAGCACACTGTGCGTGCTGCATACTGCAATCCTTTCAATAAAGAGATACTGTTATCTCTGTTAAACAGAGATACCCACTGTTTGGGCATTATGCATGGTGCATAAAACAGTACTTGGGAGTTGCTTAGAAGCCCAAATAAGTGGAACAGTGTCGGCTTTAACAAAAGATAGTGAAAGTTTTGGGCCGTGGCCATTGATCTGGATGATACTTCCTTTGTGCTGCTGAAGTCCGAGGTGTTTGCTTTGTGGCTGGGAAGAGCAGGTTGCTCTTTTCTGGGGCCCTCTCAATGGAATGTCACAAAACGGTCTCAGGAACAGACTTCCCGTTTGCCTTTTCCCTTGTCTGTCTGCAAGGGCTCGGGGCTGAACATAGTGCAGAAAATCCTCCCTGTGTGTGTAAAAGTGATCTAAGCAGCTGATTTTTTTTTTTTAATATGAAGAAGTTGGACTGTAAGGCTGCTATAACTGGAAAACATTGTCATGCTTTGGCCTAGTGAATTAATTGGTTTACATCAATGCAAGAGTTCCAGAAAAATAATACTTTTTTTTTTTTAGTAAAGCTGGAGCCTTACAAATACTTCCCATTTGTTCTAATGCAATTAAGTTCTTCATATAGCTGGAAATATTTGTGCCTTCATTGGAACTGGATGGAAAAGAAGATTTAATTAATCATGTCTTACCTTCTAGAAGTGATTTAGTAGACGCTGGAAGGTAATGAGGAAACTCAGTTACCGTTTTTGCTTGGTCCATCACCAAGAGGAGAAAGTTGGCTGCCTTTGAAAAGTCTAACTTACATTTTGTCAAGTCAAATATTCTAGAAATATTAATGAGTATTTTTGAAGTGTCCCTGAACTCCAGCATGTTGTAACTCTGGCTGGAAGATGCCTGGACGTGTGTACTATACCAGTTTACTGTCTGAGAATTTTCAGAGGTGTTTATGGACATCTAGGAGATGTGATTGAAAGTTGGCTATGTACTCAAACTTCTGAGATTTGTCCTGATCGCTATCAGTAGGAATTCCTATACTGAGTAATGGAAGAATTAAGTACTTTGTTAAAAAAAAAAAAAAGGCAAACAAAAAACCAAAAAAACACCAAACTAAAAACCTAACAGTTTGCAGGGTAGCAATATTAACATGTGCAAACAAGCTGTTGAATTGTTTGTCTATATGTGCAGAAACCAGAACTTTTCAAAGAGAATCAGGAGTCCTTGCGTGTTCCTAATTCTACTTGTTGATTGATATGAAATTGTATAACATGAATATTTTTGTAAGTCCACAAACGGTCATTAAACATATAGGTAACAAAGATAAAGATGGTCTGTCTTTTGTTTTAAGCCTACTGCATGAAAGTCTGTCTCATAAATGCTATAGTGGGTGAAGTTCAGGACTAGACTATGACTAAACTTCTTTCCTTATTAGATAGGATGAAGTTCAGACATACGCAGTCTTTCTCTGTGGTGGGGTACCAGGGAGCTGAGGGATAACTGCAGGCTGCAAGGAACGTTTGTATCAATTACTTACAGCTAGACAAAATGTTGTATGGAACCAGGAAAAGACAGGGGACATACGAGATTAATGAAATTTTGCAGGAAATTGCATTCAAGTGGTTTTCTTTCCTTAATTGTATTTAGGAGACAAGTAAACAATTTTTCTTTTCAACATTTGCCTGGAACAGAGCAAGAGGAAGGAAGGGGGGGGGGGAAGGGTCTTACACAGTAAACAAACCCAAGGGAGGGAATAATGAAGGAATCTCCTGGCAATGACTGTCTGTTGTCTTCATCACATGACTTTTTTTTTTCTTTTTGCATTAGTTTCAAACACACCAGCCCATTTGCAGAAAGCTATTTTGTAGAAAAATGGAGAAAGGTGCATAGAAAGAGTGCACAAATGGCTGTAGTCATGTCTGTGTGCTACTGTTTTAAATATTTAACTTCTGCATACTTTGGCCTAGTCATGGCCAAAGTAAAAGCATGTCTCTGTTCCTGCTTCTGCAAAATTGTACTGCCTTTCTTTAACCACGTTTTGAAGGTATGTAACCTTGTTGTTCACTGTGAGCCCATCCCCCTTTGTTTTTTTTACCTTCCCATTTTCAAGCCTTTGCACTCTTATTTGAACACCTGAAGATACGTTAGCTTGGACCAATTAAAAACAAAGGTAGAGAGATAATAAATTGGGGGAGAGGAAGAATGTTGTTTCTTCTTCCTGCTTGCCCTGTTCCCTATCGTATTTGACTGTTTTATTACCCTCTCAACTGTGGGTATAATGAGAGAGTAATTTCCACTCCTTTGCAGAGGCATGCAGGGTTCTTCTGTTTAAGCCCTTGCGGGTACTAGAATAATACGGAAAAGTGCCCGAGTCATTTAATCTACCTGCAGCAAAAAATGCCCCATCTCTGAAGAACCTTTGCAACAGGGGGAGGGACTTAAAATTCAGCAGCCTCTATCCTATCCAGTACCCTGTGGTTGATCGTGGTACTGCTCATTTCCCAGGCAGACTTTTGGTAAAATGTTACATGACTCTTGGTTGGGCTGCTAGCTTACCGGGCATTCACTTGATCAGGAAGTTGGATCTGTGCAGGTCAGTACATGACATAACGAGTGCCTCGACCTGGCTTGAGCTTGCATGGTATGCTGCTACAGTCCTCCCTTCCTGAGGCTCTATCACCTCATAAACAACTGGATTTGCTTGTCACTGTGCAATTTTGGCCAAATGTTTCCTTTATTTTTGTTTCTGCTGTACAGCACTGTCCATACGTACTCATCCGGTTCCACTCTTGGTGCTTGAGTGCGTGAAGAAGCACGCATGTTAGAGGGATGATGCTCAGCGCTCCTCATACCCAGCCCTGGGTGCTTTGAAAGACTTCCTGACTCTTGTTTCCGAGGCTTTTCTGAGGGGAGGTGGAGAAATGACCTGCCATTTGAACTGAGTTGCTGGGATATGTCTGTTAATTATTTATGACTTTGTGTCATTGAGAAAGTAAGGAAGCTGAGATTGCTGATCTCTGTGAAGGCTAATTTTAGTGTTTCTGGGTTTCCTCTTCCCTGTACTGCATTTTCCTCCTACGGCTAATTACGGTCTAGCTGCCCTAACCTGAGAACCATTTCTGTTCAATATGTGCAGGTGCCATAGTTTCCAAATACTCTGTTAGCGTTTACATTACAAATATTGTCATATTGAAAAATTGGAAATTTCAGTGTCAGTTTTGTACTTCGCACACTGAGCTTTGGAACAGTAAGCTTTAATATGCATATTAAAAAAGAAGGAAAATTCTATTATTTCATACAATAAATTTCTGTGCCATAAAGTATTTTAAGAGGACTTTGTCATAGCATCGGTCACCAGGTGGCACTGCTGCATACAGTCTTGATACACGGTAATCCTTTTGAGAGCACGTCTGACGATGGGATAAGGACTTCTGGTTTTCTCCCCTGTGTAGCTTGTATCTGGAACTGCACGCATTCACGTCATCCTAACTTCCATCCTACTTCTTAGATTGTAGGGAAATACTCTAACTTCTGTGTTAATTATTAAAAAGATGAGCGTAAAGATTTCCAGTGCCATAAACAACATTCAGCATCTTAATGGTAACAGAATATATACCATACGTTGTATCTTTGCAGTAGCTTAAACCAGTAATTTAATTATACTAACACTTCTGCATTATGACTTGCTCTTTAAATAGCATCATGTTACACTTCTATTGGGATCTAGTCTCATTTCACATTTTTTTTCCCCGTTTATACACCTCATAGATTTTTCTGGATCTGTATCTTGTTCATAGAATAAGCATTTACATTTCTCTATCCAAGGTTTTTATGCAGTTTAACCACTCTAAAATCCTTCCTCCGTATTTTGTTATGCAGCCTAGTTTTCAGTGTCTTTATGCCACACTTAGGAATACACTTCTCTGCCACTGAAAGTGGCCCTGTTGCTTAATTCCCCTGTGAATTACCTCTGAATCTGAAAAAGAATGTTCAGATGTTGTTGGTACTACTGAAGCCACAAAGAATTTTTCTGTTCCCCGTTAATGGGGCCAGAATGTTGTCACTGCTGTGTCTTGGGCAGGTTACAGGTGTGTTTGAAAAACATACTCATCTGAGAGCTTGGCCAAATTAAAGCAAGACCGGCTTCCTTCCCACTGATGCTTCTGAACTGGCAAGTACCGAGTGCTGCAACCATGCATGAAGCTTGAGAGGGGTGTTAAAGTTTACATTTAAAATGAGCAGAGGAATGTAAGTGCGTGTCTCCCATGAATCACTGGTGTGCGGTGCAATGCTGCTTCTCGCAGTTGGCAGTGTGGGAAGACAAGAGATGCTCAGCAGTCGACAGAGTCAAGACAACAGATGTCAATTTACCTAGGAGAGAGTCAAGGATGATGAGAAAGAGGATTAAGGGGTTCCCATCTGTTCTTTTTTTTTTTTTTTTTTGAGCTACGGGGGCCCCACTCTTGGG